TTGTACCTTTTGACCATCATCTTCCCATTTTCCCCACCCTACACACCCAGACCCTGGTAACCATGGTTCTACTCTCTGGTTCTATGGGTCATCTTTTTTAGATTCCACATATAAGTGAGATCACACAGCATTTGTCTTTCTGTGTCTGATTTATTTCACTTAGCATAATGCCCTCTAGGTTCATCCATGGTGTTGCAAATGGCAAAATTTCCTTCATTTTAGGACTGAATAATATTCCATTTATATACATACCACATTTTCTTTATTTGTCAATCCACCAATGGACATTTAGGTTGTTTTCATATCTTGACTATTATGAATAAAGCTGTAATTAGCATGGGTATGCAAATACCTCCTTGAGATATTGATTTAATTTACATTGAATATATACCCAGAAGTGGGATTGCTGTATCCTATGGTATCTGATAGGTACAGCCAGATAATTGCTCTTCTTTTTCAAGCTGTATATTTTTCCTCTAGAGCAGTTAACCTTCAGCAATTCTTCAGAGTCCTCCTCACTATCCCCTTTTCCAAGAGGTTTTCCTGGATTGACTCTAGAAGAGGTAATGAGTTTGGGCTTCTATAGTTAGTTTCTTACTCCCTAGTTATGTTGCTACACTTTCAATTTTATGATTACACTTTTGCAACTATTAGCATCTTGGAGATGGTGAGGGAGGTGAATTTGGGGATTTTATTTAATATTGGGCAACAATTTTTCATGTTAATTAATATCTTTTTTAGTGATTATAAGCACATAGGAGAATTAATACCAAGACAAACCCTGATTAAGAGAATACCACAGGAAAGGGGGAAAGGGAATATGTTTAATTAGATTTTCTGGGTAACTGAAGGTTAAGAATAAAGCTGTTTTCCATTGTGTTGGCTAAGAAAAAGAAATATCCCACCAAGTTATCTGAGTCCACTGTCCCGACTTAGTAAATCAAGTATAAATGTTATACTTGAATCACTCTTTACTGATTGAGGATCTTTCAGAGCCTCCAGCCATTATTTTGAGCATTAATTCTGATTGACCAGAACTAAAGATGAAATTAAGGGAAAAAGAGTAGGACTGAATGTATTCCAACCCCAGGATATCTCGTAGAAATTGTTTTCTTGACTGAGTTCATTTCATTATCTGTCTCCTTCATGCAAAAGCAAAATGAGAAAAAACAGAATTTTTAAGAATCTCAGATAATTGATAGCTCTGGGTAGTTGAATTGCCATTAATGAAGGTTTCACTGAGCCTCACATTGACGGGAGTCTAACAGTTCCCCATGAAATTGTGCTTTTCTGTGCTTCATATGCAGAGGATGTTCCTGATATGCGATCGCTCACCCTGTACTTTGGGCAATTTTTACAGAGTAAGTAAAGGTTACACTGACACTTTCCCTCCCTTCCCTGGTCCCTTTTGAGACCAAGGACAAGAGTTTGTCAGACTTTTGCTTAAGAGCTTGTTGTGTGGCCACAGTGAGAACTGTCTCTCAGAGCTGGGGCTCTGTCTATTACCAGATTACTGATCCATATGTGGATTGAAGTGATCATCCCAGGAATGGATCACAGCCCAGTAGATCTATCAAAAAGGAAGGAAAGAAGGATGGAAGGAAGGAAGGAAGGAAGGAAGGAAGGAAGGGAGGAAGGAGAGAGAGAGAGAAGAAAGAAAGAAAG